AGTGAATATAAATACAATCTAAAGGTAATTTTAAGTGGAAAGAAAAAAACAAAAACAAAAGCAAGACAATAAAATATCCAAATTGTACCCAAGAGTGTGCACTCATATCTTGTGCTTGAAATAGATTTTTTTTCCCCCCTGAATCCTTTCCTTACGTTCCTTTTCAGGCTCCGTATGAAGCACTTGCCTTCTATAAATTATCATAGCCTTATGCTGGTTTTCAATATTTGGTGCTGACAAAATCGGTTTTTCAGATTTTAACATTGACATTCAATAATTTTTGCTAAACCTTATTTATTTTAAGCGAATCTCACTACAGCATGTCTAACCACTAATTTACATAAATGTTTTCTGGCATTCCTTGTTTGGGATCTTAGTAGATTTGGGCCTGAGAGATAAGGTAAGGATCAACACTCTTTAGATAACATAGTTGTTAACTAACAAGTAATATACATTAAATAACTAACAGCTCCATTCTAAAAAACAGCAATAGAAAAACTAGATACCAGAAATCAGAAAATCTCTAATTTGTGCATCTCTAAAGAGCATACAAAAATAAATTTGTTTAGTTCTACTGACCTGTTTTTTGTCAACAAATGTCTAACATTTCTGCTTTGTTATATTGTTCCTATATTCAATTAACAATCAAAAAATCAAACAGCAAATTGTGTAAATAAAGGATAAATATTTCCAATTTGCCAGTGTGCCATATTTCATATTATTTTAAAGAAATTAAATTGCACAAGTGGTAGAGCATATGTAGTACAGAATGTTTTACAGAATACAGCTTTAAAACCCTTCATCAGATGTTTCCACTTTGTGATAAACACATCCTGACTGATGGTTTAACACCTATATTACTTAAAAAGACACTAGATTAGGATCAGAATTTAGATTAGGCAATCTTTCAAACAGCAGAACTGCATAGTGGATGCTTTATCAGACTTAGATTTTGACTCGCACAGCTCCAGTTGCTGCTTGGCTTATTAGAGGTGTGAGTAGGCTCAGTCTAATGTCAAAATCACACTTCAATTTTACTTAGAGCTCTCATTACCACGGAAAGATTTTGATCTCTACCATGGAGCAGTTGGACTGGAGCTGAAACCTCACTTCTTGTGTGAGTGTTAAAGGTGTGAATTTCACGGAGGAGTTAAAGCACAGGAGCTTTAAATATATATATATATATATATATATATATATATATTTTGTTCATGTTTCTGTGTAGGAAGAATCATATTTCATGTCATGTAGTTTTAATTTTACATCAACCATAACTCAGTAAAAATTGGGCTTTCTTAGATATATAACTCTATACTGATGCTTTTCACCAAAAAATGAGGCCCATTTATGTTGAGGATTCTTGGGATTCTTAAAGATGCATTACAGAGTTTTCTAATGACACTGCCACCTATGGCCAAAACACAGAACTTGTACCATTCTGCTCATTCTCTTAGCTCACGCCATACTACTAAACAAGGTTTTTTTTTTTTTTATTACTTTTTTCACCTGAAGTTGCCATTGGTGTCTGAGTTGAGCTGGATGCCGGTTGCTTGTTAGTATCCACAAAATCCATCCAAAAAAAAGCACTTCTTTTGTTTGCTAGGTCAGAAGCATTTAACATGGACAGGCTAAATTTAGGAAAATAGGCTGCAGGGTTAGAAATACAGCTTTGCTGAACTACTGAGGTCTCAGTCTTCATCTAATTAAATTGATAATGCCTTTAAAAAAAATTAAAAAAACTACAAACAAATTTATCATATTATTTTTGGCATGATCTGTTATATTCTAAACACTGCAAAGTACTCAGTTGCAAGAAAATATATATGTATCAGGGACTGGTCAGTTTGGAATAGTTAAAACTCGTTCAGATGATGCACACATGGGGTTTCCCAACTTCCCTTGAAAATCTAATGAAAAGTTGAAATTATTTGTGGCGTAGTTTAGAATATCTTACTTAGGACAAACAATGACAGAATTCTCATTTTTATAGTGTAAAAATATTTTCTGGCTACACCACTGGTTCACGCTGAGCATACCTCCATCACAAACACAACTGGAGTAATGTAAAGCTCTGATTGTTCAAAAGCAGCTAATGGATTTTACAGGGATTTGTCTTCTGGTATTCCTTTAAACATCTACAAATAATGACATTACACTATAGTAAACCAGTTGCCCTTTAAATTATTCACTTGGGTCCTCACCATTCAATCATGGTCTTGAGTTAATTAAGCTATTCCATGAGTAATAAAGAAGATAGATGACACCCAGTCATACACACAGTGCGTGTCGCCCGCCGACTCTGTGACAGCAACTGTAGACTGGTAAGGTCAGAGCCCAACAATTGATGGAACTGTCAGCCCATCACAGTGGAAATCCACCAGCAGACTCGGATCATGGATTGACTTTCTACAGCTCCAGGGGGCCAAACAAATGGCCCGAGACAGATTGGTGGCCTTGTCTCCAAATGCTAAACCTCAGAATCTAATCTGAGCAGTTATCAGTCATTTGCTGGGAATGTCATCAATTCACCCAACCAATAATGATCACATACAGTGGGGAGTTATTGAGTCGCTGATGTTCCAGGAATGCACAGCCTGGGGCTCTCTGTTAAAATCCCCAGGATCAGTCAAACAATCCATCAATGAGTTTGAGGATGCTGATTGTGTAAATAAGTACTGTTGTTTTTAATGCATTTAGATCAGTTAAATTGATCCAACTGCCATCAAAGTTAAGTTTCTAAACTTTTCTCAAAATTCAAAACCATTGTATTTTCGTATTGCCTGTATTTCATATTTGCAGGAATTCTAATCCATAGACAGGCTTTACGTCCCACCCACCAAACAGTGTGGGTCAGTAAATTAACTTGAATGAATGACGGATAAGAGTAAAGAAGATATAGTGACAATATAGTTCAAAACTATCCTGATATTGTCCCATTTTCTCAACTTTTTTTAACCTTAGAGGTAGTTTTTCAGTGAAGGCTGTTCCCCAATGTGCAGTACCCACAGGTATTAAGACATCTCCATCCATTAGGCAGACTGACTGACAATGCAACAAAGGAAGCATATTTGAAACAAGTCATTTCTAGAACACTGCAATAGTTTTTCCTAGTAACAGAAAGTAGTTGTGTCATATTCTATTTATTGTCAAAGGGGATAGAAAAAAATGATCACATTTGGCGTGCCAGTTCGGATATGGGTGTTTTTTTTCTTGTTTTTTTTTCCAAAAGGTCAAAACAGAAAACAGAAAAATTTAACAGAATTTCTTTACAATTATCACCTTATTTAAGCATCAAAATAGGTGTTCCTAAATTTAATTAATTTTTATTTACCCTTTTATTACTGAAATATCAAAAAAGAATCAAAGTAAATATTTTTGGTTGATGCAGCTCTACATTAAAATTGCTTGAGTTCTTAATTTTTAATTATGGCACATAAAAACTTATAATCCAAAGAAAAACATTTTTCATTATTTAATAATAGGTTGATCTCTGGGATATTTACTGATGCAAACCAAAAAAAATGAATTTTGTTTCTCACCAGGAGCAATACTGCATCTCATTTTTCAAGCATTTTAAAACTTTTTGAAAACATAGTATAAGCATAAAATAATCAAATTTTGTGAAATATATATATATCATGTCAATAAAGTTTGGGTGTTACTTATATCTTTTAGTCAATAGACATGAGGGGATTATGGTGTAAAAATACTACAACCATGTTAAAGCACCATTATATTAGGACAGAATAGGCTATGTCCATTTCTTTTTTTTTTTTTTACACCTAATCATCAACTTATCTTCACAAATTTGAAGGTTATTACTGCATTCAGTGTTACGAGTGTCCCCAAATGGTGAAATAATTATTAGCTGCATGAATATGAAAGTAGATTTGGGCTCCAGTCAGAGCCACCTTAATCATTCAACATGCTGAGATACGTGAATCCTCATTTGTGCATACAAAGCATGTGAACAGCATAACTTATCATCAATAATGGTATCATCAGGAGGACTGCCCTGTGCAATATTGGAGTAACACTTGCATTCATTTAGAAGTGTTGATGACTCCTAATGTACTGCTGTATCTCTCCCTCTACCCAACCTGCTGATCCAAACAGCTAGCTGAAGGGAACGTAACTTTTCAGCAGCTTAAATATGTAGAAAAATCTATATAAATGACATTTCCTCGGCTTTTCTCCTTCATGCTTTCACATTAGAAATGAAAGTGACTGTGGTAAAGTACATCCGAGTAGGTGAAAATGTGTAAGCTGACTAGCCGGCCACCTCACAGACAGCTATGAAAGAGAGAGATTCCCCAGAACAGAGAAGGCATCTGAACTCAGGTCTGCTGTTTGAACTCATTGTTCCCTTGGCAACATGCTTATTGGAGGATAGTTGTTAATTCAGGCACAGAGTGGCTGCTGCCCAGCAAACTGTTCTCTGAGGTCTGCCTGTAGCTGTTTGATTAACAGAGCCCCTTGCTAACACACCATCAGAATCCCAGTTCATGCCTTATCGCCACTTTTGATACATGTTGCATTTAGGTCTTATAGTTTTCTCTGCCTTAAGGTCTTTTTTTCTAAACCCTCACAAAAGAAATTCTGGAAGAAAAAAAAAGAAAAAACATATGAAGCCAAAGGAAACTGCGGATTCAGTTAAAAAAGTAAATAAAAGCTCTTTAGTGGCAGCCAGTATCACTGGTGGCAGTTCTTTTAATTACTGTAACTCGCTTTTTGCTTTCACATCTTTTTTGTTGGCTGATGTTTGATCTGCTGCATTGACTATTGTAAACTCCAGTCAGCACACAGAGGGAGCTAATGACACCCTAGGGAGAAACTCCCCCAGCATGTTGATCATGTCTTAAAGAACAGTGCACATTGTTATCCTCGGCTGCAACTATGTTTTTTTTTTTCTTTTTTCACCCCTCTGCCCAATTTTTGGGTTTAGAGCTACAGATCCCAGAGACGTTTGTTCAGAGAAAAGTGAGAAAACATTAACTCACATGCAAAGGTTAGACTGGCCTCTCGGCTGACGATGGTCCCAAAGGAGTTGGAGGCTAGGCACTGATACGTTCCGGCATCTTGGTCTTTGTTCAGACGGCTGATTCTGAGGTTGCCTCCAGAAAGGCTGTAGTGAGACCCGGCTTTGGGAATGACTTCTGTACCATTTAATTTCCACCTAAAGCAGATAAAAAGAAGAATGAAAAAAGAGGGAAAAATTAACATGTAAATTTACATATCAATGTTGTAATTTCAGACTGGGGCAACAGACCCATTCCAGACTACGAGGAAAACCTGACTTGTACATTTAATTGTGTTTCCGCATGAGAGAAATTAAAGGTGGGATGATCCCAGAAATCATGCCCTAAGGTTTAGTGTTAATGTTAGCAGCAGTGAACTATTATAGTGCCAAGGACTTGAGTTGGAGAAAAGATAGAAATGCAAGCCATCCATCTTACCAAAGCTAAGTCCAACCACATAAAATTTCCACTTAATCATTTTGGCTCGACAATTAAAACAAATGCCTTTAAGCTCACCTACACACTTGCGCATTCTAGAGCAGTGCACATGATTATTATCGGTGTTGTGGGTGATCAACGAAGCGGATAATTCACTTAAAATGGCAGCAGACTCTCAAATTTCCCCATGTTATTAAAAAGAAACACCCACGGGTGGAAATCAGTCATATCTAAAAAATGGCTTCAAGCCATTATACACTCTAATAGGGCCAGAAGGTGCTACAGTAGTAGCCATTCAAAATGTCCCCACTTCTTTGATGGCCCCTTGGCTGGTCCTTGGCTAGTCCTCTACAATTCCTTTTTAAAACATCAATCTTTGTACTAAAATATTAATTATGGGTATTAAGATCAAAAGAGAAACGTTATCTCCAGGTTAGGGACTGTAATTAAGTGAAAGGGTGGAGTTAGAGTAAAAAAAAAAATGCACGCCCAGGAGAAGGCCAGTGCCTGGAAGTTGGAGGGGCTTTTGCTGGGAGCTGCAGGGAAGTGGGTTGCCATTCAACTGGGAAGGCCATTTTGAATGGCTGCTACTCTACCTGGATATATTTGTACCCTGTGCCTTGAAATGAATCTTTATATACATTGTGATTATTCACAGTTTATAGTCTATGAACCATAAACTACTAGCCATTTTCCAGGGGCTTTATCTACAACACATCCACAGACCAATATGCAAAATAATCCAAATGGTTGAAGGTCATAAAAACACTTGGTACTATTATGGCAATAGCAACTAGTCTGCTTTGATGCCAGATGCGGGTGTTATTAAATAATTCCGTTAACCAATAAGGATTCCATCTTGAGAAACCTTTTTGCAGAGTTATACTTCCTCAGCACAAAAAGGCATTCACGTCTGTGTATGCTATGCGTAAAAGGCCTAAACAGGGATATGTAAAATAAAAACATTTAAAAACATATAGGCAAATCTTTCAGCAGAGGTACATAGTTCTCATGAATGTTATTAAATGCAAAATTGTCCTGGAATTCAATGAGTATGCTTTGATTTCCACCATTTCTGATTGAGGATGGATCTTCACATCAGTCTTAGGTTTTCTTTTAGTTTTGCTCTGTATTTATCTCCACCAATCTTTTCATCAAGTTGGAGCAGCTTCCCTGTACCAACTAGAGAAAAACATCCTATCATTCCTCCTGACGCCATGTTTAATGGTGGGGATAGTGCATCCAGTGTGATGTGTAGTGCTTTTTTTTCAGTTGAATATAGTATTTTTCTTATAGCCAACACATGCCTCTTCTATTCTCACATAACCACAGCACATTTCTAAATGCTTTATGTATTTCTTACATGATCCTGTCTGTGAAAAACTTCTAATGGCTTTTTTCCCTCAATGTCTTTCTTCTGGTTTCTTCTCTAATAAATACCAGATAAATGAATGACACCACTTACAGTTGTCCAGAATGCTAATTTTCCAACCTCTGCTCTAGATCTTCTAGAGTTTTTAACAAAATCCCACTAAAATAAAGTTTTTAGATTGTGAAGTCTGTCCAATTAGATTCCTCCTAGATCAATAAGCAAGAAAAGATTATCCTACATTATCTTAAAAAATGTCCAATTAAGATTTCATCCTGGTGATTTTTGCTAGTTAATTCTTGGAGTGTTTCTGCTTTGATTCATTTCATTTATTTCTCTCTGTTTGATACTGGGTACAGATGGGACAATATTGTACTGCTTTATTTGGAAGAGAAAACACATTGATGCTAAGAAATTGGCTTTGTTAAAGCTCCTCTGTAAACAATAACAGAAGCTGTTCACAGCTGTTGGGTTTGTGACCCCTCAGCTCTTCTTAATATCAATGTTTTGTATCTCTAAATTCAAATAACCTCACATTAAAGGCATAACAAGTTTGCCAGCTTTAAATTCTTGCTTTCAAAATGCTTTTTATATGTTAAACCTTTTCACAGTTTACATGTCTTTGCTTTGATCTAAACTATTCTACCTGTGACTATATGTTTGAGTGGATTGTAATAAAGGGGACCTTCTACCAGTCTTATCGTTTTCAGCCTGAAACAGTTTTTCTCCCGGGGTTTCCATCAACTCTGACTAATCTCCTAACCCATGTTCAGAGAAACATCTCCACAGCATGACCATGCCACCATTTTGTTTCACAATACGGATGGTATGTTCAGGCTAACATCTAATGGTGTATTTCAAGCACAATTTTAAATATAAATGTTTTTTTTTTTCTTATTCCCCAGGGCACCAAGTGGCGCCTGTTGCCACTTCCTTAAAGGTGAGATTTGTGAAGACTCAACTGAAGGGTTGTACAAACAAAGACATTTTTATCCCCCTGTATTGTGTCTGACTGCAATGATTAGAGTTGTGACAGCCCATTTATTCCTACAGAAAATATCCTGCAAAGCAATTTTTTATTTGCTTGATATGTATTAAATTTAAGAAGCTGATAGAAATTATTTTAAATTGTTATTGCGGATCCAAGTAAAAAAGACCATCCATCCATCCATCCATCCATCCATCCATCCATCCATCCATCCATCCATCCATCCATCCATCCATCCATCCATCCATCCATCCATCCATCCATCCATCCATCCATCCATCCATCTAACCCAGCTAATTGCATCAACTCATTAATTAGCAGGATAGGCTCCTCTTGGATGAATATGTGGCGACAGTAAATATTCAATTGCAATTTGTCAGACTTAATCCTTCATTCTGAGCATGCATGTAGTGACAATGTAGATAATTTTTTTTTACATTTTAACAGGAAGAAACTTCCAACAGAATCAGGCTCTGGTACATTTTTTGTTGATGTTCTTAATCACTTTTTTGGGGGGTTCTTGATGGGAAATACTTTGGTTAAATTGTTTGATATAAAATGCTGCATAAAATGTTGACATTGACCCAAATTTTGTGGAGTGTAAAATGACTGGCTAGAATGAATTCTGTTCTTGTTTATAGCGATTCCATCTCATTTCAACAAAATAACAAAATGTCTTGTTCTTGCATAGTATACAGGCCAAAATTTCCTATCAGCATGTTCTCCCACCCTACAGTAAGTCTGTATTTATGTTGCTCCTCCAAAGTTATTGTGAGCCTTTCTGTCTGTTTCATTGATTAATGATTTCCATGCTCATCCTGTCAGTTTGGGTTTATGTTTACATCGTGCACTGGTATGGTTGTGTTGCACTCTCCCTTTTAAGAAGATAGTTTTCATAGTTTCCAACGAGATTTTAAAAGCTTATGAAAACATTTTGCATTTGTAATTTAAGCCTGCATCTCCACAACTTTCTTTGTGACCTGTTTGCTGTGCTCCTTGGTTCTCAAAAAAAAAACCTGATGAATACTTTCACAAGTCGCTGCATAACAGACATAATCTGTAATTGTGTTACGGAAAATCAGCTATTTTTAGTCTCGTGTCCATGGCCGCCTGTAGAGCAGGAGCAGGGTCATCATAGAAAATGTGAGCAGGGGCTGATTACATGAAAAACAATGTCAGGCTGTGCTGCCTACCCGCCTTGCTGCAATCAAATGTCTAACAAACAGCAGAATTCTTGTGGGTCGGAGCATGTCTGCACTCACTGAGCAACTTTAAAGACGTTTTTCTTTTAATAGGAAAAATGTGCATCACAGTATTTTTTTTCTGGCCCTTCTCCAGTTCAGTTATAAGTAAGTGCACACTCTCAGAGCCTTATTACCACACACACACAAAAGCCTGTGGGAGAAGGATGCTTTCCCACAAGACAGGAGCAGAGATTCATTTGCAGCAAACAGAAAGACATCAACATATTCCCAAAGTGAACGAACACCTTGGACCTGAAAACAGCAGCAAAGCTGGCAGGAAGTGGAAGAAGCAGGTGACATTCAGGCATCATGCACAGATAGGAGTCTCACGTTCTCTTTGAAAAGGATTTCAATCTAATACAGAAGCAGCCTTTTACACAGCTGTAATTGCTCAGAGAGAGGCTGCATTGTAACAGAAGATAAACAGTTTAATCGGCGGCAGCTTGAAAACCAAATGCTGCGAGAGATTTTCTATGCCAATCATCACTTCAGCTCTTTATCTGGCTCTTTCTAAAATTTTGAAGAGAATGGCTACCGCAATTGGCCTTGAAATTTTTTCTTTTTATTTATCTCAGAGAGGGATCATGCTGCAAACTGGATCTGGAAGAATTAACTCAGTCCGAATGAGGGCTTTTTTCTAAATGTTCCACAGAGCAAATGTCTGCGCCAGCCGAGTGTGAAGATAGTTAGAAATAACTGCTCACCAAAAGCTGCTATTGTCCCTCTGTAGCAAATTGTAGAGCCCTATAACAACTCCTCTCACTTCGAGAGCATTCATTATTCAGCAATGTTCAGACTTTCTGTGAAACTCGAACACATTTCCACTCCAAAAACGACTGAGTGTGTCAGGCACAGCATGAGGGGAACTCTGACCCGCAAGACGCAGTCGTGTGTCTCTTCTATGCGAAGCAGAGAAGAGAAATACATCAAACACATGTTGAAGGGAGAATTTAATATATCTGTTTACAGTGATTAATAATGGCAAGCTGGCCACAACAGCAGTTTGAATTGTTAGGCACATGCTTTATCCAATCATGTGACAACTGGCTGTGTACAACAGTAGCAAAATATCACACCATCTGGCTTATGAGCCTTTTAATACAGCCCAGTCTGTTTGGT